ATATGCCGTACATCGTGGCAATTAATATTGGAGACTAGGGAAATGAGGGGACAAATCATTCGTGTTTTCTTTTAAAAAATTTCGAAGTGCGATTTCTCCAATGTGAAAATCAGAGTACCTTTCAAAATATCGCATTTTTAGTGGAGCGGTTGGAAGCGCAGCACAAGCAATCGGGAATGAAATTGGATAATGAATAAATAAAAAATTAAAGAAAAGTGTAGAATAAAACATTATTAAGAAAATTTGCGATTTCAAAATGCTAAATTTGTCCTACCTATCTTACATCTTACAGCGCCCATTCCTTAGCTATACCAGTTTCTTCTTTCCTCAGCAATAAAAGCGTTAAAATGAGTAAGTCCAGTAAACGTTGCCTAATCCAATTCCATTGCTCCTGACTGTTACTCCTTGAAGACCAAGAAAAACTTTTTTCAGGCCTCCTGTCTGACACAAAGCTTCATTTAAACAAAAACAACATCTCGGAATTGGAGAATGAGACATTCCGTCCCATGCTAGAGGTTTTATCGCGAGGAAACGGATCTCTTCAACTGTCAGGTGAGGTCCAATGTTCTTTTTAAAAAATTGCTTTTTTCCAGCTCTTTATTAACCCTTTGAGCCCTCACCACCGCTTTACCGGTGGCAGAGAGAAATGACGTATTGCCTGATTGGCACACAAAGAAAGAATTCTGGCGTTAAAATGAAGGTACGTCATCCTGCTATTTGCATGCAAAGCATCAATCTGATCTCTTTTATTACAACTATGATATTTGCACAAACATTGTATTCCCATTATTAGCAAATTTTGGCCCAGGAGCTCAAGCAGAAGGCTCAAAATTGCTCAGGAACTCAGGGCTCAAAGGGTTAAGATTCACTTCATTCTTAAACTTCTTACCTTTTCTGCATTCCAGATAATCCGCTTAAGTGTGATTGCCAGGTGGCGTGGTTGGCACTTGCTCCAAACTTACTGACAAGAGCAAAGGCATCTTGCTGGAACGAGACGGATCTGCAAGCTTTGAAAGCCTCGTTAAAAGGTTGTGATGAAACGACGAGTCCAACGATTCCTCAATGCCCTGATGGCCATCAGTGCATCAATGCGACTTCCGTCGCATTATCGGACACTTGCAGTGGAAATTCGTCGTTTTCCTGCCCCTTCCCGACACAAGTCTGCTGTTTGATCTCTCTAGGCAGTGGGCAAAAGCAACTTTGCTCGGGAAACTTCTGCTCGACTCCATCGGTTGAAGGCAAATGCGATCCCAGAACGCAGATCTCATTCTCGTCCTGCACTGAGAAACGTGTCTGTTGCCTCAATCAACAATATGTCGATTCCTTTCATTTCAGTCCTACCGAAGTGGAATCCGAGTAATGAGCCAATCCGGATGGAAGGCAGAGCTGCTCGAGCAGGTCTACGTAACTACTGCTGGAATGCAGTAATTATCAACTCCTGTGGGCAAATTATCTGCGGTGGGGCTCTCAATCAACACGGATATATCACCACAACTGCTTCCTGCCTCCAGAGTGACACGTATTGGTTTAAGAACTCCTATCAGTATATCAAACGCTGCAAAGAAACACAAAAGGCCAAAATGTATCAAATGTAACCAAAATTCGTAAATTACCGAACTTTCAACCGAAGAGCGCAGGAGCGAGCAGGAGATCTTTTAACCTATCAGTTATTCATGGAATCACCATAATTCTCGAAAAAAGTACTGCGGTTTATCGGAAATTAGGAACTGAATTCAAAAGACTGAAAATGAAAAAAAACGAAAATCATGAATTTTCTATCCAAAAGGCAATCCCGTGGAAGCAACATGCAGTGTCCAATTTCTTCTAGCCAGACCATGCAGGAAACAATAAATAACAAGATGGGCAAGCCCATTCCAGTAGTGGGCCTCCTTTCATTTAAGAAGACCCTCATTTTGTCACCTACTTCAGCAAAATATTGAATACCATCGCTCTCCGGTTTTCGACCATCAAAAATCTAATTTCTCAGTTAGATTTGGCAAATCTACCCATGGTGTTCATTAAATGATGATGGGAAGATGGAGGATTGTTCGATCCATCTGCCACGACGGCTAGTAGAGAACTGACAGCACATGTCGGGGTACGGCGCCACGCCAAAGGCTTGAGTCTTACAAGCATGCGCATTATAGTCTATATTCTAAAGGGCTCTGAAGAACTCATGCCCCCCCTCCCAGTGAACAAATTTCAAATCCAAAATACACGATAAAAATGGCAATTTCGGGACGGATTCGTCACAAAACTAACTCAGCCTGTATCTTACTCATCTCAACCGGAGTCGCCAATTTTCGCTTTGATCAGACTGATATTTTGTTAGTTATCGTCGGGCAATCACAGTATCAAACACGGAGAGGACCAAACGTGGTCTCTTGCCTTCCAGAAAAGAACCTCAATTAAAAAGACCTCTCTCCTTCAGAAACGACCATTTTAACGCTTGATGGTCTCATGCCTTCTTAACTCGTTTAACAAGTCCAATTCTGTAGTAGGTCTTCTAAATAAACCGATAATCAATAAGACTATGTGCTTAGTAGGTAGAGGGCGGAAGGTGAAGGGAAAGTATAATGAGTAGCATTCTTAGCACAAGTTTGGATAGCAACCATTTCTACGCTGCCATGTAGGGAGGGGAAGGTGGGGCAAAATGGGGCGAGGGGCAAAATGGGGCAAGGCATATTTTAACTAAACCATACCCCGATATCTATCGACTATTTACCCTATTATAAACGCCCACGACCGGTGGAAATTTTCAGGCACAGCGGCGCCATTCAAAGTAGTTCGTAAAAGCACAAGGAACAATATGAGTAAACATCTACTTTTCTTATTTTGTTTCGAGTTTTTCATGAGTGAAACAAAGTAACATGGGAACATTGTTGGCGTCCGATAATTCTTTTGTCTTTAGGTGAACATGTGAGCTATTACATGAAGTAATACTTTTTTACATAACTCACTCACTTCTTTGTTGGCAGTGTTTTTATTGTAGATGGTGCTGATTGGGCAAAACGGGGTGATAGTGTGGGAGCAAAATGGGGCGGTGTAGAGGTTCTACAAATCTATTCTCCGCTAGCTGGAACATCAATTACAACGTTAAGGCTCTGGCTGACGCGATGTGTTACCGTTCAGATTACTTCTCTTGCTCAAAACTCACTGAAGCCTGGGTCACTGGAATTCGACTCATGACAGGTGTGCAAGCATCGATGATGACACGTATGAGGACGTGTTTTCTGTGACATTTGTAAATTTGCATCTATGATAAATACATGGATAAATATTTGAAACAACAAGACTTGCTTTGACATAAAAGTTTACTTGTTGTTTCCGTTCTGTGGCCTTAGTAATTAGGCACATAATGAAAACCTGGGAAAACCTAAGAAGAAAACAAGGTTTGTTGGTAGATGTTTTATTGTTCCTTATGTTCTTTGACCTTCGTAAGTAAGTATGAAGACTTGGGGAAACAAGAGAAAGCATCTGCTTGTAATTTATGGATGTTGCGTTGTTGCCTCTGTTCTGCGAACTTTGGAAATAGGCATTACATGAAGGCACGGGAAAACGTGGATAATAATTAGTTTACTATTTGTAGATATTTCATTGATGTTTCTGTTCTCTGACCTGTTTAAATAGGTATGTATTAGGAATAGAAACATTGCAAAACTATCTGGAGGAGCACCCCGATTTTCCTGTAGAGGCATCCATGATTAGATTGACCCATGGATTGGGCGAAGTGGGGTATATGACAATAACTTTTAGAATTGTCGGGGGGAATAAACCGTCGCTGATTTCGCGATGAAGTTGAATCCTAGTTGAAGGTAAGACATGAAAGATACCGCATACCTATGGGAAACATACTACGCCATCTTCTTGGTACTAAATTTTGGCGATTTTCCAAAAATGCCCCGTTTTGCCCCACCTCTCCCTACAGGTGCTGTTTCCCACTCCGCTTATCTAGTTAGATCCATCCGCCAAGAAGGCTAGTAGAGAACCTTACAGCATCGGTTGCAAACACGGCACCGCGCCAAAGGCCTGGGTCGTCCGCGCATGCGCATTGAGGTCCGTGTCCTGGAGGACTGAGGATTCATGACTCCGTGACCAAATTTCAAATTGAATATTTCCTAAAAACAATTTAAATGTTGTTGCAAATTCGCCTCAAAAGAACTCTGCATCTTATTTATATCCACCAGCTTACCAATTTTCGCATTAATCAGGCCAAAATCTTTTTAGTTCTCGTCGGACTACCAAAGTGTGACACCCGGACACACGGACAGACAGGCCGAGAGCATAAGTGGTCTCTTTCCTTTCCGGAAAGGAAGCTTACTAAAAGGAGACATTCCAATTGGTATCATTCACTTGCAAATAGAATCATGAATTAGAAATTATATCCAAATCTTATCGAGGGTACTCAAGAAAAGACTAAATCAATTTATCTCACCTATTGATGCAGCCGTTTTGGCATAAGTTTTCCTATTTGCAGACTGATGTACCCATCAGCCACTTGAAATATTAACCCTTTGCGGTCATATTTCTTTTCCACTAGTTTTCCCCTTAGGTCATATTTAATTTCAATGAAAAAAGATAAAAACACATTTCAACAAATCATTTCAAAAACCGGTCGGTAGGTGGATAAATACAATCGGTAAGTGTCGTGTGAAGTAAAATATCGTAATAAATGGCAGGAAAAAGTAATTTCGGGTGAGTCCGAACAAAGAACAAATGTCGGGTCCTGCTCGACACATGACCGCAAAGGGTTAATGCAATCCGAACCCATTCTGCCAAAGCAAGGTCATGGGCAATGATTCAAAATGAATTAGAAATTTAAATGGAAGGAGATTCCAGTCCCTTTGGCGTGACTACCGTAGACCCAATCGGATGTCTTTTTTGCCATGTCCTTTAGTCTTGAACATTTTCTTTTAACTTTCAGGGTTTTTTATGTTTTCTTCCCGATATATTGCATTCATAAGTCAAGTATGATGATGAGTAATTTCCGTATCTACACGATGCGGTGTTTATTACGTTTGTCCTTTCTCCATAGAAACAATGAAACCGAAATACTGTCGGTACAATTAGATGGAAGCCCCGATCGTCACAGCATCCGCAACTCCCCATCTCTCAATTTTCGTGAAAACATCGACGATGACGATATGATCTTGATTCTTCAGACGACATTACAAGCAAATGAAAGAGCTTGCAATATCTCCGTCCCGGATAACGATGACTTCCACAACTTCTCCGAGTGCAAACTCGTTTCCCACATCGGAGGTAATGGTTGCTCCTAAAAATAACTTCATCGAAATCTTCATGCGTGAATTGAGTCAGTGACTGTGGAGTCGTTCTTTCCCAATAGATGAGGGATATAGGGCGAAACCTGTGGCTTATCAAGCTTCCATAGCGAATTCCAGCATATGCGAGGAAAGACTTACTCAGGACAGTCCCCTCCCATCGAATTATATCTGCATCTCTTTCTCATCGATCTGGTGTGGAGAAACCGGTGCCCCTCTCGTCTGCCATGACTCCGGTGTCGCAAGGGTGCGTGCATGACGTTATTGGATAGTCTTTTCCTTCCTGGATAGCAGTAATCATGGATACTCATTTGCAGTTGGTGGGTCACTTGTCCACCCCCAATGGAGGTTGTTACTGGGAAGACAGTCCCGGGATGTTCGTGAAAGCCGTTCTTTTTCCGCCAGTGATCTTTCATGAAACCACCGTCGGCGCTGATTCTTCCCCTCCANTCCTTTGTAATGCTCATAATGTTTGATCAGAACTGAGCGATATGGTTGCGATCGCAGAGTACCAAACCGTGTGTCGCGGAGATTCGGGGAGTCCCATGGTCTTCCCGTCCCTTGACTCTAAGGGAAGCATCTGGCGTGCGGAGGGGATTGTGAGTCACTACCTCAACCCCAGTAATTGCTCTGAAAGGCACCGCGGTGATAACAGCGTCTTTACCAAAATCAGCGGGTGAGATCTGCATTATTGACCTGCTCTCTCATAATCGGACCATTCCATGAAAAATTGCTTTAGGGTTTGCAAATTAACACCCTACCATTGCCGATTTCGATAAAAACTTGGTATCCAGCCTTTTCATGCCACTAATCACAGAAATATAGTATTTCAGCCTCATCGGGTCAGGAGGTCAGATGGTACAGGCTGGCCAACATTTAAGGTCATCTGCTAACCTTCCATTATGATACCCCAAGGAACTTCAGAACTACTCATGTTAGACCCTTGATTATTCGCTGTAAATTACATTAGGAACTCACATTTGGCATAACAGTTTCATATCAGCAAAAATCACAATTATTCATCGATAAAATGTTCATCTTTAAATGTAGGATGAAACAACAAATTTTAAATCGGCAAAAAATTACATGAAAAAGTGAGTGTCTCAAATGAAAGGAGACGATTATTTTTTAATTTCGTCTATGTATTCACCTTTAATCTTAAGTTCTTGAGTTCCCAGGATATCAAAATCGAAACTTAGCAGTTGACCAAATATTTTTACCACCCTGTAGCATCTGACCCACTGACTTGATGAGGCTGAAATGTGATATATACGGGTCTGGTGGTATGATAAACCTCGATACCAAGTTTCATCAAATTCGAAAATTCTGGGGTGTTACCCTTTGGTCGATTGTCCATGGAATGACCCATCATCATTCATCTCACTTCTCGCATTCATTGTAAGCTTTATATCCTCTTTTGTCATTTTCTCCAATTTAGGTTCACTGACTGGATTAACAATATGATGTCAGAATATTATCCATGAAGACTTTCTTCTGAAGTGGATCCCACCTCCATGCAACTCGGATCATTTGATGCATTTCTTCCTACAATCCAAGAGTAAAGTCAGACAGCAGAAATCTCATTCAGCGCGACATTCGGGCGTCAATCATTGTACAGATAAAGATTGTGAAGCATGTAAAAGTTTGTTGGAGATGAATATCCTGTGATTGAATGTGTGGAAAGTGGAACGACCAGTTTACGATTACAATTTTACCCATATGCAGGTGAGGTGGGAACGTCCAGTTCCTTTGTAGACTTTCGTATGTCTACAAGTGACTTCCATATATTTGCACGGTAAAATAAACATTTGAAAGACCATTTGAAACTCCGTGAGAAACGCTTACTCATGATTGTTGGTCTCTTACGTTGTAAGACCGTTGTAAGATCGTTGTAAGACCTTACTTTGCAAGACGTTTTCTTGTATCAGCATCATGCAGATGCATGAAAAGAGGAAACTGGCGCCATCATTCTCACCATTTTTCCGGCATTTAGCATGTTTTCTCTGAATTCTTTTATCTCACGACCTTGAAACGTTGCTCGATTTTTCTATACTCTATAGAAGCTTTCCTTTTCAATTTTGTCTGTAAAAACCATCTATGTAACCGTTTCGAGCGATTAGTATGACTCCCTAGCTGCTATTGAAAGAGGATTAATCGGCGTGTTTTCCCCGTTAATATTAATCCCACACAATTAAAATTATAATCACTTTCATAGTGTGGTAGCAAGAGCTAGTGCACCGAATTTCATCCAGATCGCTCAGTTTCTTCTTAGTCGTGGTTTTTTTGGAGGTGAGTACATTAATAAATTCGTGTCTCTCTATGCCCGAGTGTGGAGGACACAACTGTGACCATGACTTCGTTGGCTTTGAACAGCTGCAGCTCAACCAATAGGAGGCCAGTTTATACGCAACTTACACCAAACGAAAGCCAGGAAGCAGGAGTAAGATTGACTGAAATATAACTTATATTGAATATGTCATACTCGAATTTTGAGTCATCAAGAGGGAGAATGCCAGATATTGTCACGATTTTGTCCTTCACTCCCTCATTTATTGAGTCTTTAAAGGGAAAATGGCATTGTTATCCAGTTGAGGGTGTTTCCAAATCAGTCAAAATAATGTTATAATTGCCGGAAAAGAAATTTCATTCCCTCAAGGAATATGGAAGGAGAGCATCATTGTGGGACTTTCATGTCCCCACCAGAAGGAAAAAGATGACATATCCGGCTCAGAAGATTCCGCTCCTAGCAACCCACAGCGATTTCGACGTCAGCCTTCTATCAAGAGTGAAACAGTGTTTTGAAGTTACGCCACAATTATTTTCTCGTTTCTTTGAAAAACGCACATTTCCCATCAATGTGTCCATGTGAAGAGTCCTGTGGAAGAATCAGAAAAATTCAAACTAAACGAAGATAAATAACAGATTACAATTTTCCGTCATAAAGAATGTTTCCTTTTCTATACAACTATTTATCCCTAGACTGCTTACCGCGAGAAAATGGAATGGACCCAATTGCAATATTGCTCGTGAAACTTATGGCAGAAGCCTGAGATATTTTAATTTCGGCTCTTGTCATTTTTAATACTTGATTAAGTGAAGTACAGAATGGATTGGCAGAAAACTGCATTCTACCCCTTAGGCAATGTCAATGGTTAATGTTTCTACGTAATCGTATTGCCTCATAAATTTCCATCTCTAGAAATCGCATGAGTTCCTTCCAGGTAAAGGCCGACATTGGGAAAACATATTTATATAAGTAGAAGGCTACTGCTGAGTGAGGTATGGGGAAGCACATACAATAAAAACGGGAAAAACCTGATGTGGCTACCCACCAAGACTAGTCTTCAAAGACTCTGCAGGATCTAACTGCAAAGGATAAAGTTCCAAGAAGACCCCATTCTGTCGAGAATTTCAAACATCTCAGTTGCTTGGAGAAACGCAACAATAGCAACATAATTTCAACTCTTGGATTGAGGCACCGTTTCAAGGTCATGCAATTTCCACGTATTCATTCTAACGCGTACTACAAAGCAGTATTGACCCTTATTTACTGATAAGGGTGTTGGACATGCAACATAAACAGGTCGCCAAGGAATTTCGCACAGCAGTGCACCTTGGAAAGCCATTCTAACGCAATCTTCCCCGATCTCATTGCTCAGCAAGTGCTAGCAGTTTTCCGACGCGCCTTCAAGTCCACGCCTATTGGGGCTCAATGTCTTCTAAAACTTTCCCCCCCCCCCTCCCCTTTGAGAAAATAAATACTACGTACATTTTACTACAATCTTCCGATTAAGTTTTATTTGGCGTTTTGAAGACGAACACTGCAGGGGTTAGGTACGAGGTCCATCTATTCCATAGACGGATATGGATTTCCCTGATATATTAGATATCTGTCGTTAGATAGTTTCACGTCAGTGTGAATGTGTAAAACAGGAATATTCTCCAGAGATGTCATTTTATTTACAGAGATATTTTCCTCGGTCAATAGTCTTAATGAGATTTATTGTATCCGGCTTCATATTTTCTGTATTAAAAAAGAGTCAAGGAAAAACACTTGCAGTGGCTCCTGAAATAATAAGAACTTTCGCTTTTATATCCAACACATAGTGCATTAACCGGCTATTATTCTAGTTTTTAATAGTGAGTATTGAAAAAGGTTTCGCGCATGAAAAGCCCAGAACATATTATTCACTGGAGCCTCAGATATATGAAAAGCAAGTACGTACGAAACTTCAAAATATGGTGCAGAAACATCGTGACCAATACCTATTCAGCCTATAAGTACTTGAGAGAACAATCGTTTTTGGGTGTAGTGTCAATACTTAACCATGGAGTGTAGATACCTTTGCATTTCGAGACATTTTGAACACAATTAGGCATCGAATCAAAAAGGTCCATGTCATTACCATTGCCGTTCGAACTAGCTGCATGTATGAGGTATTCTCAGGTATGAACAAGCGACATCACATCCGTGTGTGAAAATGCTAACTCTTTCGATATGTTGGCGTATAACTCACCATCAGCCCATCTCCAGACACTTCAGTTTTCCTATCACTTGCCTCAACCATGCGCTATCGAACTCTGATCCTTGCTGAGCGAGCGTGAATGTTATAAGAGAAGCATGTGAGGCTTGCCACTGGTCGTCCACGCCGAAATCGCTTTCTCCCGCATAGCAGGTACTTCCGGCTTCGTCGAAGAATATCTCATAGCCGTTGAAGGACATAAGGGATAGGAGATTTCCGGTCAGCATCGCAAGCTCGTAATCCTCTGGAATCCGGGAATCTAAAAGAAAGCGAAGTATTTCACTTCACCATTTATTCAGTTCGTGATTTTTTCTGATATGTAGTCCCAAGACCGTGGAAAAGTTCTCTGCCTGGCAGTGAAAGAGTCGGGTAGCGCAAAAAGTGTTCTTACTTTTTTACGTTTCCTTTTTGATCTGTAAATATTCAATACTTCGTTCAACCTTTCTTCAGCAGTTCCGCGCCTGTGTGGTTGAAGGTCTGTCGAAAGGCCATCAATGAAGGACAACGCTTTCATGGCGCTATTTATCTGGTAGGTTTTTCCTTGGACTCCTTGATGATAAGAAATGAGTAATGACCTTAAGGGCCCAGAATGAGAGAATTGGGAAGGTGGGATAAGAAATCAAAAGTGTAATCCTTAGCAAGGCAAATCTTGATGCGAGCTGGCGCATTGTATTGGCGGAAATAACGGTCTTTCGCCATTATTCTGTTTAGAGTCCACCAACGGAACGCTCTCAACGTCAAAGTAAACGCTGAGCATGACATTTACTACGATGAGAAGTTTTCGAAGGGTAACTTTAGTGGAAGCCAACGGTCTCCCACTCCTCCTCATCAAACAGAAACAACAACTTATTTCGACGTACAATTTTCCTGATTGTCTGGAAGTGCTTGATTTTTCTATTATTGAAAGTATAAAAAGGCGCCCATGGATATAATGAGCGCAATTCTATAGAGACTACGATATTTTAATCGTTCACAAACTCAATCCAATCGATACACTAGGAGAAGATATGAGGGATTAACATTCTGTATTGAGCTACTTGAGATGCAGGCCTGTCATGTTTTCCTTCAGAAATGCAACGATGAAAAAAAAGCCATCGCGTCACTCCCAGTGACAGCTTGAACCTCCCTNTCCGATTAAGTTTTATTTGGCGTTTTGAAGACGAACACTGCAGGGGTTAGGTACGAGGTCCATCTATTCCATAGACGGATATGGATTTCCCTGATATATTAGATATCTGTCGTTAGATAGTTTCACGTCAGTGTGAATGTGTAAAACAGGAATATTCTCCAGAGATGTCATTTTATTTACAGAGATATTTTCCTCGGTCAATAGTCTTAATGAGATTTATTGTATCCGGCTTCATATTTTCTGTATTAAAAAAGAGTCAAGGAAAAACACTTGCAGTGGCTCCTGAAATAATAAGAACTTTCGCTTTTATATCCAACACATAGTGCATTAACCGGCTATTATTCTAGTTTTTAATAGTGAGTATTGAAAAAGGTTTCGCGCATGAAAAGCCCAGAACATATTATTCACTGGAGCCTCAGATATATGAAAAGCAAGTACGTACGAAACTTCAAAATATGGTGCAGAAACATCGTGACCAATACCTATTCAGCCTATAAGTACTTGAGAGAACAATCGTTTTTGGGTGTAGTGTCAATACTTAACCATGGAGTGTAGATACCTTTGCATTTCGAGACATTTTGAACACAATTAGGCATCGAATCAAAAAGGTCCATGTCATTACCATTGCCGTTCGAACTAGCTGCATGTATGAGGTATTCTCAGGTATGAACAAGCGACATCACATCCGTGTGTGAAAATGCTAACTCTTTCGATATGTTGGCTTATAACTCACCATCAGCCCATCTCCAGACACTTCAGTTTTCCTATCACTTGCCTCAACCATGCGCTATCGAACTCTGATCCTTGCTGAGCGAGCGTGAATGTTATAAGAGAAGCATGTGAGGCTTGCCACTGGTCGTCCACGCCGAAATCGCTTTCTCCCGCATAGCAGGTACTTCCGGCTTCGTCGAAGAATATCTCATAGCCGTTGAAGGACATAAGGGATAGGAGATTTCCGGTCAGCATCGCAAGCTCGTAATCCTCTGGAATCCGGGAATCTAAAAGAAAGCGAAGTATTTCATTTCACCACTTATTCAGTTCGTGATTTTTTCTGATATGTAGTCCCAAGACCGTGGAAAAGTTCTCTGCCTGGCAGTGAAAGAGTCGGGTAGCGCAAAAAGTGTTCTTACTTTTCTACGTTTCCTTTTTGATCTGTAAATATTCAATACTTCGTTCATCCTTTCTTCAGCAGTTCCGCGCCTGTGTGGTTGAAGGTCTGTCGAAAGGCCATTAATGAAGGACAACGCTTTGATGGCGCTATTTATCTGGTAGGTTTTTCCTTGGACTCCTTGATGATAAGAAATGAGTAATGACCGTAAAGGCCCAGAATGAGAGAATCGGGAAGGTGGGATAAGAAATCAAAAGTGTAATCCTTAGCAAGGCAAATCTTGATGCGAGCTGGCGCATTGTACTGTGGGAAATAACGGTCTTTCGCCATTATTCTGTTTAGAGTCCACCAACGGAACGCTTTCAACTTCAAACTAAACGCTGAGCATGACATTTACTACGATGAGAAGTTTTTGAAGGGTAACTTTAGTGGAAGCCAACGGTCTCCCACTCCTCATCAAACAGAAACAACAACTTATTTCGACGTACAATTTTCCTGACTGTCTGGAAGTGCTTGATTTTTCTATTATTGAAAGTATAAAAAGGCGCCCATGGATATAATAAGCGCAATTCTATAGAAAGAGACTACGATATTTTAATCGTTCACAAACTCAATCCAATCGATACACTAGGGGAAGATATGAGGGATTAACATTCTGTATTGAGCTACTTGAGATGCAGGCCTGTCATGTTTTCCTTCAGAAATGCAACGATGAAAAAAAAGCCATCGCGTCACTCCCAGTGACAGCTTGAACCTCCCTCAAAAATACCACATCAGGTTTATAGAAGCAGAAGGATTCTGCCACATGATGTATATACAGGGTGGTACAAAAAACCGTAGACCTAAGGGTATCAAAGAAATTTACAATACCACTGGATCCAGTCAAATTTTATTATAGGTGAAAAATCGATGTAGGGAATTGCTTCATGTCAAAAATTAGTTTCGTCTGAGCAATAAATCTCCAGTAATTACAACAAATTTTCAAAGTGGCCCCCATCGTATTCAATGCACGTCAGAACTCGCCATCTAAACAGGTCGATCG